CTACTCCATAATATTGAATTATCATCGAATAATCCGACTAGATTACATGATTTTGAGATGTAAATCGGAGATTGGAACTTAGAAATTTGGAAATAAGATTTGTAGATTTGAGGGTCGAGTTGAGGTCGGATTTTGATAAAATTAGTATGGGTAGACCTGTGGTTGAATAAGCTTTCGGATTTTGTAACTTTTGTCGGGTTCCGAGACGTGGGTCCCACATGCGATTTTTTAGCCAATTTCGATTTTGGTCTAATTTTGTAGTTTTTCTTGTGGAATTCATTCCATTAGCGCGTATTGATGGTATTGTACTAATTGTGAATAGATTCGGAGCATTTGGAGGCCGAGTCCAGAGGCAAGATCATTGCGGGATAGAGATTTGACCGGTTTGAGGTAAGTAACGATTGTAAATCTGGTCCTGAGGGTATGAAACCCCGGATTTCATATCATTCTACTATTTTGAAATGACGCACATGCTAGGTGACGGGTACTTATATGTTTTAGAAAGAATTTTTATAAATTGGGCTGAATGCCATGTTTGGGCCTTGCGCCAATGCTGTTTGGACCCTTATGGGTTGTTTCTTACCATCCTCTCATTGTTTTCGATTTGGAAATCTATACTCAGTCATGTTTATACTTGTTTACCGCATAACTCGGTTTTTATGACTCTATTTTGATGCATATAAATGTTTTGGGCCGAATGCCCTGTTTTACTGAAATGCCCGAGTGGCTTGAGATATTTATGACTGAGTGAGGCCGAGGGCCTGACTGGTGAGGATGAGTGTGGATCGGGGCTGCCCGCCTGCAGCATAGTTATGACTGAGTGAGGCCGAGGGCCTGATTGGTGAGGATGAGTANGGCTGTTTATGATTTCATCATTTTTGCTCACCTTTGCATTGAGCCTTTGTTTGAAAAACTATTGTTAAAAAAATGTCTTTAAATGATTTTTACTGAAACTGGGTTTAAACTAGATAATTTGATCCAAATCCTGATTTTTAAAAGCATGTGGTATTTTACTGAGATTTCCTGATATGAACGTTATATGCTTTATTGCTCGTCACTACTGCTCAGTCTTTATTTATTGTTGTTACTTACTGAGTTGGTGTACTCACGTTACTCCCTGCACCTTGTGTGCAGACTCAGGTGTAGCTGGACACGATAGCGGTTATTGAGTGTTCTGGTTGCAGATTTTCTTAGAGATAGCAAGGTAGTTGTTTGGCGATCGCAGCCCCTGCTCTTCTCCCTCCTATCTTCCTCTAGTTGTATTTAGCTATTTTCCGGGCTGAGTTAGCCTTGATATTGTTAGACAGATTGTAGTATATGCTCATGACTAGTGATACCCCGATGTCGGGCTTTTCTTTTCCGCACTTTTATTTTTCTTTTTGATTTGAACTCTTTAAATGGAGGTTTTATGTTAAATAACCTTGGAATTATCTTTAAAATGAAAATATCGGTTTGTTTTGGAAATGAGTCGGCTTGCCTAGTTCCACGTTAGGCGCCATCACGACAGGAGTTAGTTTTGGGTCGTGACAGAAACAATACAACAATAACCCAGTATAATCCTACTAGTGGGATCTGGGGAGGGTAGTGTGTACACAGACCTTACCCCTACCCTGGGGTAGAGAGGCTGTTTCCGATAGACCCTCGGCTCCCTCCCTCCAAGAACTCCCCACCTTACTCTTGGAGTGACTCGAACTCATAACCTCTTGATTGGAAGTGGAGGGTGCTCACCACTAGAGCAACCCCCCTTGTCTCTAAAATTGATTTTAGAAACAGTAAATTATTCAGATAGAAGTAAAAAGAAAATAACAACCATCAATCCTAAGAGGAAACATAACTCAGTCCTAACAACTAGAAAACAATACGTCAAAAGTTCATAAATTGTTAAACCATCCAACGAATGAAAGTGAGAGAGTAGTTTATAAAGGCAAGTAAAAGGCCGCTAAATTGCTAGCGTTTGTCCTGTGCTCAGGGCAATTCCACACAGACTTGACATAAACCACCAAAATGTTAAGAGAAGTCTACACTAAGAGCTTCCTGATGGCATGCTTCACGTGGTGCAGAGAGATGGTCAATCAAGCTTGAAGCTTCATATCAATTTGACAATAGCTTGAGTTTTCAGACAAAGCCATAAACTGCTCATTAAATGCTTCAACCAAAGAAGGGAACTAGCGACGTGTACAGGGAGCATCCCTTTCAAGTTTCAACCTCACAATCCAATTGCTTTTCGTTTTCCATTTCAGGCTTATCTGAAGAATTTCTGGAACAGAATANCTTGAAGCTTCATATCAACTTGACAATAGCTTGAGTTTTCAGACAAAGCCATAAACTGCTCATTAAATGCTTCAACCAAAGAAGGGAACTAGCGACGTGTACAGGGAGCATCCCTTTCAAGTTTCAACCTCACAATCCAATTGCTTTTCGTTTTCCATTTCAGGCTTATCTGAAGAATTTCTGGAACAGAATACAAATACCGTGAATGGAAACAGCAGTAGTTAAGAGGTGCGGATGTTGCTAAACTAGGATTTGCCTTGACATCAAATGTCTAAATATGGATATAGGGAAATGCCAGTGTAACTAGTGCCAGAATGACAAATTGACAATGATGAGCAACTATCTCTCGCTAAGACTGACTTTCAACATAAAACATATTTGACAAAGATACAGTGAATTTTATCGTAAAGACAAGACAAGGTTGCATATACATTACTGCCACGATGTAAACATACACAGAAATAGAATATTTCTCTAAGTTTTCATTAAGGTTTTTTCAACTAATTTGGTCTCAGTAAGTTTCAAAATTGCTTTATCTAAACCTCTCTTGACGAATTATTTTCTGAAGAATTTTTATTACATGATAAGTGTTTACATGTTAGAGCTGTAAAATCACAGATTACAATTTCAACTTAGAGAATATCAGCAATCTTTAATTATCAATAACCAAACTAACAATTCGAGTTCCTAAATTGAAAAGAACTTCAAAATTCACAAACGAGACTCTGATTCCAAAAGAAGCAAATAGTAACTAGCAAGATTCCTCGTCACTACACTGTTTAAACTGTTGACATATTTATTTCTAGAAAATAGGGAAAAGAAAGAGAAGAAAAGAATAAAGGGACTTACGCCGGAAATTTTTAGGCTTCAGCATGAAAGGGTGTTCGTATTTTCATAGACAATGTAATAAGGAACCAAATGAAATAACTAGTTAAGACAAAAAGAGAACTTATTTCTAAATATTCATAAACATAATGGAAACTACCCTCTCAATTTAGAGCATATTCAACAATTTTGTCATCTGGATGAACTCCTTTGCATAGTTTTTCTTTTGAATCATTTCATTCATGTTGCCTTGTTGCCCTGGTATTCACCAGATTTAATTGCGCCTTTTTTTGCTAATGCCAACACTTCAATTTTGTTTTGCGCTTACGGCCCTGATAGACCCGGAGTGCTTTTTAACCCTTTCGCCTTTGACAACACCTTCTGGGCCTAACAACTCTACCAGAGAAGCATGAGAACCAATATTTCAAATTGCTTAGTTCTTAATCACAAGGTAAGTAGGAATTTTGTTTATAATCGGTTCAAATTCAATTTCTTTCCTCTTTTAAAATCTAGGAAATCCTATTTCATCTCTGGAAGTCCAAATTTGGCATGCAATACCTTATCGATGTAACAAGTGTCAACATATCAGTTTGTCAATCAGGGTTCAGATTTATATAATCATAGTTTGCCAACTAATAACAAATGAAATTTATAGTCAAATGAACTAGTCTTTTTTCTATTTCTCCATTTTGCTATTGGTTGGTAAAGTACAAAGAAAAGCAATTCCCACCCCTCAATTCACCATGCCGAGCTCTCTAAATATTAGATCACCTGCCAGTGTTATCAAAGGCATAAAGCGCAAAAAAAACTCTAAGGTCTGGTGGGGCTTTAAACGCAAGTAAGCATGAGTTTTAATTTTAAAAAAAGGCGCAAACGGAGAAAAACTACAGATATGTATGTGTAGTCCAAGACTAATATCTATAACCATGAATACCAAATATATGGACAAAAAAATTTTAAAAAAAATTACGATAAAGTAAAATATCAAGTGTTTATTGTCGACTCTTCAGGATTACGTTCATTAGCAAGGAAAAATATGCCTTAGAGCCTTGATGACAACACTGAAGCGTCAGCTAAGAAAGGCAAAGTGCTCAATATGTTTTGAGCTTCGCTTCAGGGCTTAAGCGCACTTTAAGCGCGCCTTCGATAACACTGCCACCTTCTCATTTTCTTCCCTTCATAATTCGGTGGGAAATCTGGACAGGGATTAACATATCCCCTTACAGATTAGCATGCATTTATTTATTTTTGGTACAAAATTTTGTCTTTGCTCTATTTACCCTGTATAAAGCCATGCTTCTCTTACTTTTACAGGCATCAACTTACTTTTGAAGCTCTCTTCACCAGGAATAAAACTTCAAAAACCTCCCCAACCTCTTCTTTTCTAAAAACAGAAAAGTGAGGAAGAGAAAAGGAAATCAGCCAAAGATCCCAAGTTTCAGTCACCGAGGAAAATGTCAGATCATATCCCAGAAGAACTGATGATCCAAATCCTCTCAGGGCTCCCACCAAAATCTCTTCTCAGGTTCAGGTGTGTATCAAAATCATGGAACTCTTTAATCTCAAGCCCTGAATTCATTCGGCAACACACCCAACAAGCGATTCTTTCAAAAAACCTTATACATAAAATTCTTAGATACTTCTCAATTCCTCAAAAGAAGGAACTTTATTCCGTTCGAGTCAATAATGCAACATTCAGTATTGACACCAATATAAACATACGATCCCCTTTCAATGACACAGTGAGGCATTATTTTAGGATCGTGGGCTCTTGCCACGGCATACTTTGTTTGTCTGATGATTTATTTGGATATTCACATGTTTTAGTACTATGGAACCCTGCAATAAACAGATGCCTCCGTCTCCCAATGCCTCTTCTTGATTGTAATCAGAAAGGGAGATAAATGTTTGTGTTTGGCTTTGGCTTTGATATAAAAAGCAAAGATTACAAGGTTGTTAAGATGACCTATTCTCAAAGTCGAGGAGCATTTTTGCTGCCACCTAAAGTTGAAATTTTTTCACTTAGTCTGGGAATTTGGAAGCAACTTGATGGTTTTATTCCAGAGAGCTACATTGTGGAGTACTTTTATAAACAAGCTGTTGTTCATGGGAAAGTCCACTGGACTGGTTACAAAATCGATGTCGAAAGAAAAAGGATGAAGAATTTGATTCTGGCATTTGATTTAAGTGATGAGATTTTTGTGGAATTACAATTACCAGAATGCTTGGTTATTGGACTACCTATGAATCTGAATACAGCAGAGTTTGGGGAATCACTTGCTATATATCACTACGACAAGTGTGCTTGGACCTGGATTTGTTCAATTTGGGTAATGAAAGAGTATGGTGTTGTCGAGTCATGGAGCAAGGAATTCAATATCGTTCTTGACTGGGAACCTGGAATGATTCTGGGCTTTAGGAACAACAGTGAAATACTTTTGACAAGAAGAACAGGACAGCTTGTGTCTTATAATCTCGAGACACATGAAAAGATGAATTTTGATATCATTGGCACTAAAAACTCATTTTTTATGGGAACTTACGAGGAAAGCCTTGTTTTGCTCAATGAAGGACAGCTACTGTTGCCAAATGATTTTTCATCTGAGGCCGACCGAGATGAATGCTAGGACTATGACATTGAAAACAGGAATGCTCAAATGAGTGAGTTGTGGTACCAACTTGTTATGCACCAGTATCTCACTGCTGTTTTGGAAACCAGACATATTTAAGCATTTGTTAGAATCACACCAAATAAATTGGATTTAGTTTTTGTTTAGTTTACCATCTGTATTCATTGTGCTGTCGCATTCTGTTTTTTGTTTATCAAAGCTATGTACGACATGTTGATCCATTCCAGTTCTCATTCATCATTGGTATGTTTATTGTGTTGGTCCAACCCAATTCTATGTTCAATATTGCTACTTTCATCAATCTCTATGACATTCCATGTGATTTTTAAACATAGAATGATGTTATCAAAGGTGAAGGCCTTAGCCACTGTATTGTAACTGTGAGAAAGCACGACAGAAAATATGTTATTGATATTGGATGAACAATACAATACAAGAGGTCCTTATTTATAGCTATACTATACAAGGACATACTATTCTTCTACCAATGTGGGACAATACTACACTATATACATGCTGTAAACTAACACTCCCCCTCAAGCAGGTGCATACAAATCATATGTACCGAGCTTGTTACATATATAACCAATACGAGGACCAGTGAGAGACTTGGTGAAAATATCTGCAAGTTGATCATTCGACCTCACAAACTTTGTAGCAATCTCTCCTGAAAGTATCTTTTCTCTGACGAAGTGACAATCAATCTCAATGTGTTTAGTTCTCTCATGGAACACCGGATTTGATGCAATATGAAGGGCAGCTTGATTATCGCACATAAGTTCCATCCGACTGATTTCACCAAATTTCAACTCCTTGAGTAATTGTTTGGTCCAGACAAGCTCACATGTTGCCATAGCCATTGCTCGATATTCTGCTTCTGCACTAGACCGAGCAACTACATTCTGTTTCTTGCTCTTCCAGGACACCAAATTTCCTCCTACTAAAACACAATATCCAGACATAGAACGTCTATCAGAAGGTGATCCTGCCCAATCAGCATCTGAGTATCCAATAATCTGCTCATGACATCGATCCTCAAAGAGTAACCCTTTGCCTGGAGCCGATTTTATATATCGAATAATGCGGACAACTGCATCC